CATGGTGGAGGCCATGACTACCCTTCAGAATACTGATTTTTCATAATTATTTTTTACTTTCTTCAATTTCTTTGTTCTTCTTGTTGGGATCCTCTAAAAACACAAACACCACTCATTTTACTTGAAAATACTTGCAAAATTATAATGATCAAACAAGAGCAACCTACTAGTTAGAAATCGTGACAATTAATGAGAAAGTGAGTTTGAAATTAACCAAAAAAACAAAAAAAGATGACTCTAATTGCAACAAAATCCGCTCAAAACGTATAAAAATTAAAGAGTCATTAGTTTTTATTGAGGTGCCGACACAAGTTTATGTTAGTGTTTTTTCCATGTCAACATTTGGTAGTCTCATCCTTCTTGTTCTAATTGAAAGGAGTTGTTCTGTAATTAAACCGCAACATTAGGTCTGTATAGAACGTTTGCGCTTTTAATTATAAACATAACACTCCTATACCCAGATGCCAGTCAGTAAAGCTGTGAATTAAGGCTGAACCTGTTTTAAACTAGAAAAAATATGGGGCAGAGTTACTATTTTAGAGCATAAAATGACAATTCATGCTTAAAAGGAGCCCTTTTAAGCCTTGAAATAAAGGGCTAGCCTTTTTAAACCCTTTTATAATTTTTTTAAATTTTAATATTAAAAAATTAAATATTATATTAATTTTAAAATTCTAGCCTTATTTCACGAGAATGAAGAATGAATATATGAAAAACTTAATATTTTTATCATTGATGAGGCTCCACAAGGAATAAGATGAAATTATATTGATGTTGATGACAATGAAAATCATCAAGATTTAGATGATAATACTAGCAAGTCTTATGATTATCGGTGTTAATTTTGTCATTTTTTTTATTAGATTTAAATTTCTTGTTGCATATATTAATTTAAATTTTTTTTTTCTAGATATAATGTTATGTATAATAACTTTTTAAAATTTTAAATATTTTTTAATTTTTAAATTAAAAAATAAAAAATATAAGGCCAAGGCCCTAATCGTCAGGGCTAGGCTGAGCAAAATGGAGCCTTGAAATATAAGCAAGCTTAACAGAGCTAATTTATTTAGGCCCTAATCTTTCAAGATCTAGTTCTTTAAAGAAAGGCCAGCTTAATCTTAATTGAGAGCTCCATCGTTACTTGCATTTATTAAAGTATATTTCTACGAAAAATTGGATATATAGTGTAACCCCCAGCCACGATATTTTCAAATTTCAATTCACACGCGTTGTCATCTTACAAACCTTCATGCCCCAATAAGCCACCAAATCTGAAATCAGTATTTCACTAATGTACGAATCTTGATTTCTATGCAACATGTAACTTTACCATATTTTTTATATTGAGAAATGATATTTAAGAATCTTTTAAAAATATTAATTATAGTTAAAGACCTTAAAATTATGAATTTTCAAAAATTAAAAAAAAGATCATGGTTCTTAGATGGGATTAAGATTTTTTTATTGAATTTTTTCAGTACTAATCTTCCATATTTTCAGTACTCATTTTTCACATTTTTAATTAAGAGTCATTTTTATTATATTCAATATTCAGTTTTTTTTATTATTTTCAGTCAATTTAGATATTTGCAATACTTATTTTCCATGGTTTCCATGCTGAAAAGAATTATAGAAAAGAGTTTTTCGTTACTGAAAATATTGGAGATAAGTATTCGAAACATCCAAGATGATTATTAAAAAATTAAAAAAAATTTGAGTACTGAAAATGTTAAAAATGAATATTTAAAATAAAAAAATAAATATTATGTTGAAAATATAAAAAGATAAATATTGAAAAAGTTAATATAATATACTTTTGACTGTGACATTTGTCGCCACCAAAAGTATTTTTATAAAAAATAATTTAAAAATTAAAAAATAATTAATATAATTTACTTTTGGTGGCGAGATTTGTCACCACCAAAAGTATTATTAATTTAGCTTGATATACATATGATATTTACTTCTTCTACTAAGCTCTAATAACTTTTGGACAAGAATTTCATGTAATTTCTCTTAGTATATTTAGGTTTTCATTGCTGTAATAACATTTTATAATTAATTATTACTAAGAATAATATGAATAACTACTCAAATTCACCTTGTTATGAGATTGAAGATGATTAGATGTTAACTAGATTGATCACATATGAAATTCTTGTAATTATCATATATTGTAAAAGTTATTAGTATTCATTTTCAAAATTATTCAAAATGACTATTAACAAAATTTATGTGGTTAAAACTAATTTGTTATTAAAATAATTTGTTAAGATATTGAAAAATTATCTATAAAATATATTTTTATTAAAAGAGTGGAAACATTTAGCTATTTTGAGAACAGATAAAAATTTAATCATTTAGTTTATCAATTTTTGAGAAAAATATGGAGAAGAAAAAAGTAAAAGATATTTAACATAAAATAATATAATACATATTTATAAATAAATTATATACTTAATAATTTTCATTTAAAAAATAAAAATATAATTTAAAAATTTATCATAATGTATATAAGAATATTATTTAATATTTAAAAATTGTTTATTTTAAGTTCATTTTCCTAAAAAAATAATATTTACTGGTAAAAAGTAATATTTTATTAAAATTATAATTTAAATATTCATACAAATCATTTTGTCATATTAATAATTAAAAATAAAATATACTATATGTATATCTTTTTAATAATATATTATTTGATATATGTGTATGCAGTTACATAATATATATTTAATTTCGCATATAATAATTACAAGTGCATTTTAGTTCAACTGACAAAGAAAAGAGGTTTAAGGCTTGGAGGAGAGAGAGGTCAAGGGTTCAAACCTTAGTTTTACCATATTTTGCAACAAATATGTGACATGGCGCGTGGTGGTGATGTGGCACATGAGATGGTTTTGAGAAGGCACACACGTGACAAGTGATGTGGCACGAGATGGTGGCGTAGCACATAAGGTGGCTTGAGGGGGCACACACATGGCAAGTGACGTGGCACGAGATAGTGGCATGGCACATGAGGTGGCTTGAGGAAGTGCACACATGTCATATGACATGGCATGAGATGGCTAAGTGATATGGCATTATCTGTTGAACACATGGCCTGTGACGTGGCACGAGATGGCAAGTGATGTGGCATCATCTGTTACATATATGGCAGGTGATGTGGCATCACTTAATGCACACATGGCAAAATGATGTGGCATAAAATAAATTATTATTTCTTAAAAGAAAGTAATTGTCGCCGCTAAAAGTCTTTTTGGCGGTGACATCTGTTGCCGCTAAAAAGACTTTTAGCAGCAAAAAAATTTTTGACGGTGACATCTTTTTAATGACAAAAAAACTTTTGACAATGATAAATGTTGCCATTAAAAATTTACTTTTGACGGCGATAATATTTGTTACGGTCAAAAACTATTAACAGTGATTGTTATAGTGATGATTTTTAGTGGTGAAAAGTTACTGCTAAAAACTTTTAGCGGTGACAATCGCCGTCAAAAGTCTATTTTTTTTATAGTGTACAATCCGTGTTGCGTAGGAAATCATATTTGTGGCAAAATTGATCTTAGTATTAGAACCTACACACGCACGCACGAACACGTATTTGAAATTATGAAGCACACATATGATATGTGTAGGAAAAAGGAGGGACAAAGGATAAGGCACTCATTGAAAAGTTTAAAAGAGAAACCAAAGTAATAGATAGGGCAATGATGAAGATAGAAATATTTGTAATTAGAAGTTGACTAATAAAGACCATATAGCATCCACATATAATTAGTTGTAACCCGTGGAATGATAGACTTAGCTTCAAAGCAGAATATTCTCTGCTCTTTGTTTTTCTTCTCTTCAAACAATGAACAGTCTTTTTCACATGTGCTATATATTCTTATGTGGAAAGTTTAAAATTAAAGCAGATATGATTAATAAAGAAAAGTAGTAGGGTTTAATGGTGATAGGAAATTTGTACACCCTCCTTTTCTTTTATTATAAGGAAGGCTATCATATGCCTCTTTTTTTTAACAAGCAAAACTATAAATTTCAAAAAGTATTTCATCACATTTTTTCAAATTGCCTCTCATAAAGTCTATTTTTACAAGATAAATTTGTTTAATTAATTATAAAAATAATTTAGTCTATTAAAATTTCTTAATTTCAAATATAATTATTATATTTCACTATTTTTTTTAAACTGTATGAGTTAATTATTTTTCTTTTTTAATAATCTCAACCTTTAACTCAGGAACATTTGATATATTAAATTTACACGTGATGTAAATTTGCTCTCTTCTACATTTAAAAATGGCACACTAGACACCACCAAGTTAAAAAAGTTAACTTTTACAGTTGAAAAATTACAAAAATAATTTAAAAAATTATAGAAAATAACCCATAAAATTATAACTTGTTAAAACTCACAAGTTATGAGCAATACCAGAAAAATAATACTTTTTTATTGTTCGTAGGTGTCTTTCTATTGGAGACATGGTCGGATAATAAATGTCAACATTTCTCACAGCAAAGATTCAAACTTTAATCTGCCATGTTGTGAGAAACTAACTTTTTCAACTAGAACTAACCCACAGTACCAACAAATTGATACTTTGAAAAAAGTTTAGACCTTAATAGAATTGAGAATTTATTATATTGAAATCTGTATATAAAAATGAAATAAGTTACATAAATTTCTTCTTTGTGTGATTCTCTTTCATCACGGTGTTTCAATAATTATCTTATCAATACAAAAATATGGCTCATATTTATGGTGATTGAATTATATGATTACTTGATTGCCTATAACATCATGCTCCTCGAGTTCATTTTCTTCAAACTGTTGTTTTAATTTGAAAAATAGGAACAATTTTTTTTTGTTGCAATAGTTTAGATACAATATAAAATTTAGTAGACAAAAAATTAAGCAACGTCACAAACCCAATATCTCGATTTATCTAGAAATTATATAGAAAACTTATAATTGCTACTCTATATAACTGGCCAAATTAAAATACGCGCGCGCGCACACACTATATATATATATATATATATATAGCTCTACATTGTAGAAGCACAATCTAAAGTACATCATTTACAAAGTAAACTATAGAACTTTGATCCCTAAATTTTCATGACAATCTATAGTTTCAAAGTTTCCTTATTCCTAACGTGCGACGATATATTACATTCATGAACTAACTCATCATGCACTCAAGTACAATATCTGAAGACGAAAGCACTTAACAATATAATTCAGGATCCCAATAATAGAGTAACTTTGGATAGGCAGACTCACGTTGAGGTCTCAGATTTTGGAAGCAATTCCAAGTCCTACTGATGAAGAACCATCATGCATGAGACCTTTCTTGGGGAGGATGATGACCATCACGGTCCGCTCGCTTTCTCATTAAGCTCATCAAATATTTCCTTCTTGAAATGATCTCCCCTCTACATATTAATTGTTTGATCATTAAAGACACATGTTAATGCAATGATGCCTAAATAATCATGGTGTTGATCACTTGTGAAGATCTTACATGACTCACGGGCCTCATGCATGGGTCCATGAAGTCTAACGTAATGACAGTTATTTTTCTTATTCTATTTATAAGTCACTTCCAACACATTTTATCAAAATTAAGAAAAACTTTAAAACAAATTAACAGTATCTAAATATACATAATTTAACAATATACTTTCTCTCTCTAACATTTAGTGAGAAGTAATAAAAGAAATTTTGTGATAAAAATTTAATAAAATAATTTATAAATAAAATTCAAAAAATCTTCTCAACCACTTTGTCCCATAAATAAGACTAGAATATACATACAGTTCATGGTTTCCATAGATACCTATACATTGGTCTTTATATTATATATCTAGATCACCTGAATGGCTTTTATCAAACTAAATCATTTTCTTGCCTAAATTGAGATAATTCAAACTTGTTGAAAATATGCCACAGTGGGGTGAGGATTCAAAAAAGTGACCAAGTGAAATGGTGAGAAATACAAGTGACTGTGTTTCTTAGTTCTCTTACTGCCGTTGATTAGTAATAAACTGAAGAGGCATCTAAAGTGATAGTCTATATAATATTCTTCAATGAGAAGATATAAATATATCCAATTCAGATTGAACATCAATTGAAACGTACATGCTGTGTAACGAGTGCATACAGAGGTAGAGTGCTGTAGCTGCAAAGGACCTGAATGAATACCCTGAAACCCCAACACAAAGGAGAAACAAAATAGAGAGAGAAGATTAAACTCTAGCATGCACAATATAAGTAAAAAAAAAAACAAAGAAAGAAACAATATTGAAACTACTATATAGGTTCCCAAAGTTTCATTTAATTTCAAATTCAGTTTCTAAAGTTTACAAGTTAGAGTCCCTCAAGTCCTTAAGAAAAATTAAATCGGTCTATAGGAAATCATCAAATTATACACATGAATGAGTTCCATGAATTGTTATCTTTGAAATAAACCGTGCCTATTACTACCTCCATTCCCATTTACCAGTCACTTTTTAATTAAAAGATTTTCATATATGTCTCCATTTATGAGTCATCTGTGAAACCTATGAACCAATTAATGTTTGTATTGTCTTTGATTAATTTACACGAATTGAGAAAGTTAGTTAAAACTAGTACTACTAGACGTGATTTGCCTAAAGTCATAACATGAGAGCAACCAAATTATAAGTGGAACTGTAGTGACTAACACAATAATTCATACTGAATAACTGTAGGAACTGTTGCAGTTAATTACCCGATGACAAGCCTGACGATAATGTAACTGACTCTTCCCATTACGCAGGAGTCAATGGTATAAGTAACCTTAAGCTGAATATACAAGCAAATAAGGTTATGCATATATAACTAAATAAAAAACAAATAGATCTCTATTATACTCAAACAATTTGCTCACCCATATCCAGAAAAAGAAGGCTATTTCAAAAGAGTTCTGGAAAAGGATGAAGTGAATCAAGAAGAGAACATAGCGAGGTTGCTTAAACCAAAAGTAGTGATCATCTGATGATTTGGAAGATTCTATGTCATCAGTTAGTTGTATTATTACATGCTCCAACTTAGTGCCCACAGCTAGTAGAAGCTGAAACAATAATATGCAAATCAGTACAATGAAATCACAACTATAAAGATAGATAGAAAGTGGGTGTCGGTATCACAGAATCTAAAAGAAGATTCAGAAGCTAAGCAAGAATATTAATATTAAGTCCCATGAAGGTACGAAAGATGTCTATCCATATTCTGTTGACAAGAAGAAATTAAATTCAAGCTGAAACAAAGGGATTAATGCAGTAAACTGAATAAATAATAAGGATAAAAGATTAATGCACATGTCCGTTGTAAAGATACTTACAAAAAAGGGAATAAACCCTATCCAAAAATATGTGTACCAGCCTGCAGTAATAAGATCAAAGAAAACATATGAATTTGGTAACAGAAGGTAATGTTTTTTTGGACTACTAACAAAACCAAAAGAAACAATTAGATAAATAATGAATCCTTGTAACTATATATATAACACAGCAGAACTGCCAAGTCATATACTTTACCATAAACATTAAGTAAGAAGAAAATAACCACATACCATTAACATTAAGTAAGAAAAAAATAACCACGTAGATCCAAAGGTACCAACTGCATTCAACCCAAAAAAGTATGATCATGAGTACAGAATCAGTTCCCTCACATTTTAAGGCAAACAAAAAGGGTATCAGCATATTATTAGTTATTAATGATGACTACAAATTGAATCCACAGAAGAAGCAGTTACCTTATACCAACAACTTGTTTAAAATCATCTTCCATGGCCACTATCATATATTTGTGAAAATCAAAATTCGGATTTGCATCATGAGTCTAAAACAGAGAAATATACAAAAGAACGATCATTATGATATCCCTACTTGAGGCTACTTCCAAAGAGTCGCATCAAGGATTAATCATATTGAATACCTTTCTAAACTTACCCTGATAAAACCTTTCCTTAAAGTCAAATAATCCGATTTGTTCACAGAGTCATAAAATTGCTTGAAGAAAGAAAGCTGCAAGAAACATGCGAGATTGGGATGAATAACTAAAAGTCAAACAAAATCAAGTTGGCATATTCAGCATAACTTTCTGGAATCACTTATTTTTAATGTAGTAATCAAATAGAGATAATCAAACTAAGGAACGACTTACCAACCAACCAATCAGAACAGAGTCTTTTTGCCATGATGACATGTTCAGCCCTGCAGTAATCCAATTTGCATATGAGGAGTAATGGAGAAGAAAAATACTCAAAAGATAGCTTTTATAGGAGTTGAATATATAGTGATTTGTTACATTAATTGATTCTTTTCGGATAATATTCATAAAGTAGAACATGAAAACATCTATCAAAGATTCTACAGATTGATTGAATAATAAGACACAGCATACAGTACTGTAACTGCTTATCAAATTACTTACCTTTCTCTGTTTTATTGTTCTTTTTAGTAGTAGCATTTGAATCCTCCCAGGGCTTCCATTGTCGTATCTATACAACAAATGGATGGATTATTAATTGATAAAGAAAGAAAATTGGTGAACAGGAAAAGTTTATAATAAAAAGTGTCTTCTTTAGATGCTCACTTTCAGTTTCCCAAAGAAACCAGTCAGAACACAATAGATCACATGTACTATAGCTAGAACAAATATAAAGATATGCAGGTCATGGATGGCTTCAAGGGATATTAATGGAACCTTTTTCTGAAAGAAAAGGAAGAAAATAAACACAAGTTATATATGATCACAGTTCAATAAATTTAAAAGAAAAATTCATGGCATAAATAATTCACAAAGGTTAGATCCTGACTATTGAATCTGCTATGCTATTATTACCTTCAGGGCACAATATCCCGCTTTAGCATCAGATGCTGAGCCTCCGGCAAGAAGACGACGAGCAGTTCCAGAAATGTGAGATGTATTTGATTGATCTCTTTTCATCCAGCAAGGAAGCATCTTGTTGATCAAATCAGGCGAAACGCAGATTTTGATGATCCTGTCTTCTGAAACCGTCAGAAGCAGGGATATAAAACCCAACACCATTAACTCTGAAAAGAGAACACATCAATAAAAAAAGACATTTTCAAAATTTTGTTAGACTCTGAACAAAGTTATATTATTATAAGAAGAAAGTGTAGAGATCAGAGTCAAGTTACAGAACCTTCTTTGATTTTCTGAAGAGCTTCGAAGAGTGGCATCTTCTTCTTATCCTTCAGGAACTCTCCGCCGTAATGGAGAAATCTTTCGACGGCGAATGAAACGGCGACAATGACAGTATAAACGACGGCAACAACCCATGTAGGAGGGTACTGCATCGCGTTTTCTTCCTTACCTCCACCTCCACCTCCAGCCATTCTGATTTCTTCCTCTTCCTCTCTCTCTCTCTCTCTCTCTGTGTAATTTGTGTGTCGTCTCTGCACTCTGTCACTCCATGCTCGTCCATAATATATATACTCAACATCCACTGTGCTCAAAGTATGCTTCTATGTTGTTTTTTATTGATTATGTTACCCAATATCCGTTTCATGCAAACCTTTTATTTTTTGCAAAATTATAGAAAAGTCTCTTGCACGTAAATAAATTAATTACTAATAAGTCTTCTAAATTTGAGTTACTTCAAGAACTTGTGTAAAAAGAAGAAAAGGAAAAAAAACCCATAATAAATTATAAGTTTTTTTTTTAATTTCACTCTCACAAATATTGAAGAAGGAATTGTAAATGATAAATATGAAAAAAAATTATGTTCATGTGCACATTAAATATATCGCTAATTTTTTTAGGTGCACTAATAATCCTATGAAGTGAAAGGTAATTAATGCAATGTCACATTTTAAGTCCAGAATATGAAGCAATGTTGTCCCTCATTTAAACTTTGCCAGCCGGTAAATAGGAAAAGTTACAAATAAGGTCTGTAAAAATTATAAATAAGTCATCCATAAGAAAATTAATATTAATTAAGTCTCCTAAAATTAAAAATAAATTCAAAGGGATTAGTGTTATTTCCTTTTTTTTATATAGTTATCTGATTGAAAAAAATTAGAGGTAATATTTTTAAAGATATTTTCTACATTCACAATAATATAAAAAATAAATATTATTTTGACTAACCACTTTGATGCAATTTAGTCTAATAATTTAATGATCAATCTACTACAAGTATTTCTTATCAAAATGGCATTTTGATTCTACTAAAAAAATATAAACATGTAAGAAATAAATGATACTGTAGCCAGCCATTACGTAGGGAATCCATGGATGTGTTGAAGACAAAAACCTATAAAAAAATCTTTTTTCCTACAATGAAATTATCTGCTCTTTTTGTCATTATTTACCTTTAAGTTCATTTTAATTAATTGGTTTATACTTTCAAATGCCATCTAAAGTTACGTCATGTTATGGGCAGTGTAGGGGGTAGAATTCAGAGTTTAAACCCTCCTTATATAAATGATGAGCCAATAAAATGTTAATCAATTAATAATCTACAATTTACAAGTGCGTACGCGCGCGCGTGTTTGTAAGACTTGTTACCAACAATGTGATCGAGCACTAATTATACATGGTGACTTAATTTCGTCAATGTATAACTCAATGTGAGGATGGATTAAACGATATTGAAACCTAAAGCTTTTTAAGTGGGCCGGGAGAGAACGATGAGCCTTAAAAAGAAAAAGAAAAAGAAAAAGAAAAAGCATTTGTGTATATAAAAATAAGAAAGAAATGGATAAACAAAGTCTAACTCTGGATTAATTTACGAGAGAATGTGAAACATGTGAAACCTTTTTTCCAAAAAGAAGCTGCGTGGTGAGTTGAATTTGAGTACTCATATTCCATCACGTAAAATTGGATTATCCAAATAAAAACTAAACCTTCAAATTTAATATTAACTTATTTTTATATTTTAAAAGATATCTTACCACATATATTAGACTCTAAAATGAAGATGATTTTTTAATTGTTGATTTATTAAGAATAAATTTATTATTTTGAAATTATAAATTAAAATATTAAAGTTAGACTGGTCAAATTATATTTAAGCAACTCAAATCTCTTCGTAATAACCACCCAAACTCAACGTCTATTTGGGTAAACCACATCTAAAATTTAAAAACACATTCTAACATTTGACATACAAAGTTGTTTGGATACCACATGAGTAAGAAAATGTACTTAAAAAAAAAATACTTCCTAATATGGCTTGAAAGTGAATTTTCAAAAGTAACTCTAAATTGTATTTTAAACGCAAATGAAGATTTTGAGAGCATTTAATGAGAAGAATCAATATATGTCTAATTTTGTAATTGACCATGTTACCATTGTATAACAAATATTTTTAATATATTATATTTATATAATAAAAATTATAAATTATCATAAATCAATATCTTTTTTCATCATTTTATTTTTTAAAATATAAATCATTATTAATCCAAACAAATTTTAATTTACTAAACTAACATTTAAAATAATGTATTTTTTTTATTATAATAATTTATTTTTATTAAATTATTTTTGTCAAATAAATATTTGATAAATTAATTTTTATCCAACAAAAAAACCAAACACACCATCAATCTAGTAACTCATGGGTCCCTATAAGCAAAAGCCAAAGGAATGAAAAACAAATTTCCACAAAAAAAAAAACGATATAATATAAAATCTGTAACAACCACACCAAACTATTTCATATATAATTTGAAAAAAGATAATCATCGATCGCTAACATTTTATCAAGTTTTGTATTTTGTCTTTATAATTTTTTTTAGTATTTTTCATCCGATTAAAAATATTGAAAAATAAAAAATATAGGGATTTGAAAAACATAACTCAGCCAATCTTTTTGAAACTATAAAGGATAAAAATACTACAAGAACTAAAAATAAAGCTAGATGAAATTACAAAAATGAATAATTGTGTTTCCTTATATAATTATAAACTGGTGCCTTTTTGTTGGGATGGAATGATAAAGGTCTTGATGGTCATTCTTGTACTTGACACAATTCTTCTTATGATTGGTTAAACATAATAGCCAACTATTATTATTATGATAGAAGAATGGACGGGCCTACCTCTTATAAGTTCCACACTTAAGTGTTCAAGTTCATAAATTTAATTTTTTTAAATTATTTATTTTTTAAATTTAACTTTTATTCAAAGGATTCAAAGTTAGATTCTTTTAAAAAAATTTAAAATAAAATTTAACATTAGAAAATTACAAATTAATTAGAGTATCCTATAAGTCACGCTAAATCAAGCAAATCCAAATTGACATATCTTTAAGAAAATAAATAAAATATATTTTGAAGTTTGAATTTAAAATGAAGATAAAAGAGTTAAGGTGCTTTGTTACTTCTAAATTATTCTTCAAGGAGTACCTAATGTATTAAACTATTTGTGATATAAATTTCACTCCTAAAGTATTTTAAACATAATGTATTTGCCCTTGATGTTTAATGTCTTAATATTGACCATTAAAAATACTAACGCAGACTTAAATGTGAACCAAAAAGCCACCTGTCATACAAAGAAGATTCAAATTAAAATATATTTTAAAATATAATAAAAATATACTTTAACTTATGTAAGTTTAGGGTATTGAATGCTTTTAAATGAATAATTAAAGAGTAAAAATGTCTTTTAACTTTTTCAGATATAGCGTTAATGAAAAAATCTCATTCAATAACTTGATTGAATGTTCTTTGTGATCTTTCTATACCGTTTTAATAAAATTCAAGGCCATCTATTTTATTTGTAGCCTTCTCACTGGCATTTCCAATGACTTCCTTTATGCTTCACGAAACCATGAAACAATTATTTTGTCATTTTGTTACAAATTCATAAAAGACAAAATCATTACATTAATATCTCTTTAATAATTGAAATATATGATTAAAGAGATATTGGTACCATAGTAATTAGCCTTTTTGACAACTGGAAAGAGAAAGGGCTTGTTATGTTTTGGAGGTGAAAGAAAGTGAGTGGTTTCGTCATTCAGCATCCGTCATTGACATGACTCCATTAAATTTTTCTCATTTTGTCGAAAGGATACCAAATATTAACCTGTTTTTTTTTCCCCACAAAAAACCTGGATAAATTTCATTAACTGTATACTATTATCTTTCAACTTTAATCATTTAAATACGTAACAATAAAAACAAGATTGGCATGCATGACTCACCCCAAGAGATAAGAAGAGAATAATTGTCAACTTTCAGCATAGCCTGAGAAATATTCGTGGAGTCTTTAGTAGGTGATTCAATTCAATTTTATTATAAATTTCAAATATTTATTTTATTTCAGACTTAGAAAGTATCTTTAATAAGGATTTTTATTGAAAAAGATGGAACACGAGGCCTTAGTGGACAGCTAAAATTTTCCATTCCAATTTTGTCATAGCTTGATTGTTGATTCTATTAATGAATTAAAAATGCTGCTTAAATCAACTACATATTTAGAGAGATAAATAATTGCATTGATTGACTCACTCTATTGACCACAACTATGACATAAGAGCTTTTGAAATCTCACCACCTGCATGCAGATCCTTTTTAAATTAATCCAGATATGAATTAATTTATTTTTTTTGTACAAGATTTCTTGTGAGCTTGCATTAAAAAACTGTTGCTCAAATGACAAACTCGAAATTGGTAGGTAGATTCCTTTCATTAAACAACCAATTTTAAACAAAGTATATCCTGATCAATGGTCATTTGATTACAAAAAAAAATATTCATGGCGATTAAAACAAAAATGAATGAAAGGAAAGGATAATATTTTATATTTTTAAAAAAGTAAAAATAAGGGAAAATTTGGTAAACAACTCTAACTGTGGATTCATGAGAGAATGTGAGACTTGTGAACCTTTTTTCATGAAAGAAGTTGCATCGTGAGTTGAGTTTGAGTGTCGTAACCTAAAATTGGATTATTCAAATTAAAATTAAACCTATAAATTTAATATTAACTTATTTTTATATTTTAAAAGATATCGTAATAGATATAATAGATTCTAAAATGAAAATGATTTTTTAAAGGTTAATTTTTTAATAATAAATTTATTATTTTGAAATTATAAATTAAAATATTGATTTTAAACTTTTTAAATTATATTTATACAATTCAGTTGTCTACTAGTTTATGGGTCTCACAAGCAAAAGGCAAAGAATTAAAAAAAGAGAGAATTTTTTGGCATTGACGTGGAAAGTAGAAACGCCAGGCCTTTTCCACAAATTGGCAACATTGTGTTGACTTGACTCTACTCCAATCAACACCTATTCATCTTCAATGGATATATAATACTCTTTCATTTTAAATTATAAAATATTTATAAATAAAATTTTATATATTAATAAATTTTATTAAATATATTTAACTATCTTATCTTTTTAAAATAAA